TGCTGAACCTGGTTGGACAACAAAATGCACGTCATGGTGTAATCAAAGTGTTCAGTGCACTGCAAGAAACAAAGGCCAACAAGCATCTACTGTATGTAAGTGAATGGAAAATTACCTGTAAAACTTATCATTCTAATCTCTGAATTTTAATATGCTCAGGATTAGAACCAGGTGTGCTCAGACTTACACCTACAAACAAGCCATTTTCTTGCAGGCTTGGTGTTGATTCCCAAACTAGGGAGGACCCCCAAGTTGGTCATGAGACTGTGGGGATTGTGAGCTTTCCAGAAAATCAGTTGTTCATGCTAGTATTTGGTCACAGCCTGACATACAGGTGAAGCTTGAAACTTGTGTAAGGTTACTTTTGTGTAGGTGCATTTGGAAACTACTGCTTTAGAACAGGGGTTGGCAACATTTTGTAACAGGGCTGCTTTAATAGAGCTTAGCTCCAAGTGCAGGCCACGTCCAACCTGGCTCGTACTGCTGCCAGTTGCTGCTTCCCATTCCTGCAGTGCTGCTGTCCTTTCACCCCACCACCCAGTCACCACATGGGTTAAGTCCCCCTGAACCCCCCTGGTTTTGCAGGCCAGATAACTTGGCTCCAGGGGCCAGATGCCATTTTTCTCCCATTAAAGGGAAGCTGTGAAATTCTTTATTTATTGTGTCATTTTGACTTTCTAATTTTACACGTTGAAAAGGTGTTTTAATAAGCTTCCTCTTGAGACAGAAATCCAACATAATGCTGCTTTCTTGTTTGAGATGTTTGATGGCACTTTTAAATACAGCAGGCCAGGTTCTCAGGTGGTGTTAAGTGATGTCACTTTGGCTTCATTAGAATTGCACTGAGATACATTACCTGGTGATTTGGCACCTGATCCCAGCACTCTGACCATTCCTTTCCTCATATCTGTAGAGGCCAACCTTTTTGGTAGGCATGCCACAGATTAGTCCTGTGCCCTCCCTGAGTGCCACTCCAATCCCCTTCCCCTGCCTGATCTGCTGTTCTGCTTCCTGACCTGAGCTCCCTGCCCCATTTGCCACAGTGTGCCTGTCCCCTCCTTCTGTGCACCACACATGGAGGGTGCCTGCGCTACTTGTGGCATGTGTAGCATAGGTTGGCCACGCCTGCTGTAGATGATCATAACCTGATATTTTTAACGTCCTAGTTTTGAGGAATCAGTTTGAGGAATATCAAAACCAAAGGGGATTCCTTGGCACAAAGAAATTAATTATAGTGGACTAAAGAATGGACTAACTGAATGTAGGTGGATCTTATTATCTGTGATGCTCTGAGCACCTCACAAAAGAAGTGAAAATTCTCATTTGTTGTCTGCATTCATCTGAATATATATATATAATTTTTTTTTTTACTTCTCTTCAGGTCCTGCTGGAACTGCTGCTAAATGAACTGTGTCCTGAGCTAAAAGCTCACTTAGAGCAGCTTAAAGTTGCCCAAGTTTGAATCTGCACAAGTGGACCACAAAATAAATGTCTATATGTAATAATAGACATGAAACTTATTTTCCTCTTTTCCATAGAGGACCAACTGAGGACTATTGGTTTGTTTGGGGGCTTTTTTAGGGTTTTTTTTCTCTAGGTTTATGTGAAGTAAACAGATTTGAAAAGATCTGATGCTGTAGTAGGGTAGAAAAACAATGCTGTATAGTTGCCAGTTTTTATTTAAATTGTTATATTTGATTACTTTTTTGTTTAAAATACAGAGTGAAATGTAAATGTTAACATAAGCTATACAAATCTAGAAAATATTTTAAACATTTATGAAAAAAATTTTGCTTAATTAGTGGTAAACCAATGAATGTTGTACAGTTAATTTCCTCATTGAGGATTTGAACATTCCTTTATTTTTGTGCATTGAAGAGCCTTGTTGTGCAATACCATATGTAAAGTTATTGTGAAAATTTTATCTATTTTATTTTTACCAAAGATTTCCCATAGTTTGAAGCATTTGTAAGCAATAAATAATGAAATGGGATTGCAGTACATGATGTTAGGCTGTACTGGTAGCTAGTGAATAGACAGGACATTGACTAGTCTTACAAGGAATATTTACATTGCACTGAAGTCTGTCTAGCACGCATAACAAATTGGGGCATCACACTCTAATGCATTTGGTTTGCTTAGAGATTGGTGATTATAAATTGCTCATTTCCTTGTTTATTTGATACTCAATTAAACCACTTTAATTGCACTCTGATATCACTCAGGGCTGCTTCACTTGAATGTCCCCCTTTCAAGTAACCTTTAAATCGGTCTCTGATTTCATACAAAGGAAGGGAAACAGAAATGCATCTTTACATAGCACTTTTTCATTTTTGTATGAAAGTGAAATTATGGTGTCAGTAAACATGAATAATTCAATGCCATCAAAAGTTGGTAGGTGACATTTATTTTTTCTTTTAAACTAAATCAATACAGTTACGCTCCCTGAGAAACCACTTTCGCTTTAGTTTGGCAATATTTAGGTTCTGTAGACAAGATCTATAGACAACATTTTTTTCTTTTTTATTTACCACAGCAAGAAGTCCTTTGCAATATAGCCTTGAATTTCTCATTTGACAGCACGGTCCTAAAAAGCTAATTGACTTCTTTTGGAGATTAAAAGTTGCAACGAAATTGTTCAAAAAGTTTTTTTGCTGTAGAAATCAATGAGACTTGTTGGTTGATAGTATCTGAAGACACAGGGGAAAAAGTATCTCATACTAGGAGACTGAGCATAATTCTGCTCCTTAGCTATGTATTCAACATATTTTCTCTTGGGCAAGAGCTTGATGATATGTCAGTAAGAAAAACTGAACTTGCAGCATGGATAAGAATTAAGGAATTATGGTGCAGGAATCTATACATTAGCATGGAGGTATTTTTTCTATAATTAGTTTATATAAATTGGATTTTCCGTTACCAAAGGCTACCATGATTTAAACTGTAAGCAAAGCATCTGCCACGCATGCCAGTTCCCAACCCTGTACAGCTACTACCTAATTGTAATCTGCTAGGAAGTTTGGCTGCATTTCAGAGGCACAGGCCCCATGCACATGTTCAGTTGATCTGGGAAAATTCTCCCAGGTTTGTATTCCTCACAAAAAAACTTACCCAGAGACCTATGACCAGATGTTCGAATGCCAAGCCACGGTGCAGGCAAGAAGCCTGTGTGTACGCATCTGAGCATGCTCTGCAGGCAGCCCAATCTGTCTGGTGACAGAGAGCTGTGCACAGGACAGCCCTGACTGGTTGATCCTGCAACACAATGAGGGCATTATGAAGGGGCTCCCTGTTCAACTGGAGCAGTAGAGTCCAAGCCATGTAACACACTGTATCTCTGGACCTGTAGGGGAGGCTGGGAGCAAAGCACACTGGGATGCTGGAAGACTGCTGCAGCTTCTCTCAGAAGGTACATTTGCAGAAGTTTGCTCTCCCAGGAGAAAATCTCTTGGGAGCCACTTAATTCTGGTTGTTTCAAGGTAATGTTTTCTCTGGAAGCAGCCACTTTTGCTCTGGGACAGAAATCCTGAATATCTGAACACTACTCATGGCTTCTAAGTAGAAAACAGTGACTCTCCCAGGAGAAACTGAAGGCCTAGATGTGGTAAAGTACCTGGCAAAAAGATGAGTGGAAAGGAAAGCATGCATCTTAAATTATTGATTACTAGTCAATACTGGATTTAAAAATATGATTATGGCTTGTGAACAGACTGTGAGAAAAGGGGACCTTTTATTTAAGTGCAAGTATTCAGACAGTTCAAGATTTTGCTGATGCTGCATTTTTAGAATTTGTAAGTAAATGAACCTGCCACTTACAGTTACTTTAGCTAAGTTGACTGTAGCTGGCCTTAAGGACTATACACAGCAATTTTAATTTAGGAAACATTGGCACTGTGTCAGCAAAACATTTAGAGTGCATAGTAAACTTTCTTACAATGAAATAAGAGAATAATTTTCCTCAATTAAGCTAAGTTAGAGCTGTTGAAAAACAAATCAATGTCAGCAAAATGTGCTTTGTTCTAAGCACCAAACACTGTGCACAATCATCATGATTACAGATGGGTGAAAAACAAAGAAATAGTTGATTATCCATCGGCGACTGAAGATGGCTTACTACCTGAAATTTTACACAACACTGGAAGCAACTGGATTGGAATTTGCTTAAATATGAAATGTTCTAAATTTTTCCATGATTAGCTGCCAATTCAAGGTCAGAAACTATATCAGGATCCAGAAGGCATGCCTTTGAAAACAAAGAAAAGGGAGTTTTCTTTTAAAGCCAAATCATGAAATGAGTTTGTACAGTACACTGACCAGTCTACACTATAAACATTATTTGTCTGAGATAATCAACTTCTTAAAATATTAAAGCCAACTCACTAAAAGATAAATCCCTTTTTCTAATTCTATCTAAAAAAATTTCAGCTGCTTTGCTCTGTGAAGTCAGCACACCCAAGATGTAGATTGGACAAAAGCTGATTCCCCTCAATCACTTGTAAGTATGGCATGTTTTGGCACCTAAATCAAAAAACCAAATCTGTTTACAGGTGACTTGAAAAAGTGGGATCAGTTTCTATCAGCTGTGGAATCTGTTCTTAGATCTCTCTTTTCTAATATCTCCTTATAAAACCACAAGGACCAAATTCAGTATCATTATATAGAGAATCTGTTCCTTAGGCAGATATCATCTGGAGTGTGCAAATTAGGATTTATACATTTTCCCTTTATTTGTGGCCAGTTATTCAATTAAATGACAAAAATTACTTTCTAAACAAAGTAAAAAATAAACAGATAATCTTGATTGCTGTTCTTTGGGACACGAGGACTGGCAATGGGAAACCAAGCCTTTTCACTTCTAGGTCACTGACTCAAATATACTGCAGGCCAGCAATGACAGAGTTATAGTTTTCTGATAGCTCTTAAGTGTCAAACAAGGTAATAGTTCTGCATCTAGGGAATAGGTGCTCACCTCCAAAATGCACCTTTTCATTTGGCACCCTTGTTGTTGGCAATCTCAGAGAGGAGCACGCACACTGAATTTGCAAAGGGTCTGAAATATGTTTTGCTATGAGTAGTTATTCTGAAGTAGGTGAGGAAATAATGGGAGTTTGTGGAAACTGCACCAATGTCTTTGAGCAATGGATGGCACTGCTTTAAAACTAATGTCTAGCACTTTTGACTTAAAAAGTTTTAGAAAATCAGCTTTTCTTTGGGATTTTTTTAATGACAGTGCTTTTCACTTTTTAAAGAAAAGCAGTTTTTATCTAGGAACTACGATCATTCCTTTGCAGGAGCCCTTGACTAAACTCTGTCCCGAGAGCTGAGTTTCTGTCAGTGGTATTGCACAGAAAACAAACAAAAAAAACCAAGCCAGGATTATTTCAAAAGAAATCAGAGAGAAATATTATTTTAATCATTTTACAAATTGGCCATGCAAGTTTATCAACCCAGTCTTAAATCATACACCTCTGCTGTAGTGATTACAATAAGATTTTACTTGTTTATCAAAACAAATTACTTGAGTAAATGGATAAGCAGTAGGGGTGTGCAAATTGGGCTGTATTGGATTTGGACTTGGCCCAAATTGGGGACAGTGATTCGATTTGTTGATTTGGATCATGGGCAACTGGTGCCACCTTAGGGTGGGTACATGCCCCACCGTGGTCAGTCAGTGACCTGGGGGGAGTCCGCCCCCCACAGCAAAACTCATTGACTGGGAAACGGCCACAGCGCTCCTGGAAGTGTCCGCAGCGCTACATCCAGTGCTCCCACTCCCCGGCTAGCAGTTGCAGGGGGGGCACTGGCACTCCTGCCTGCCCCCCCGCCCATCGCCTAAGTGGGGAGCGCAGCCTGTCAGGGGGTGAACTGGCACTGTCAGGGGGTGCATGTGCACCCCTGTACAGACCCTATGCATCGCCACTGATTCAGATCACTGTACTGATTCAATTCGGCTGAATCTGAAGATTCAATGCTGATTCGGAGAATCGGTGATTCGGCCATAGACACAGCTTTAAATGTTTTTTCTACATACCTTGAGGTACCAGGCGCAGCTCGTGAATGTTGTGATGCTGGGGTGGATGGAGCGTCCCACAGGAGCGTGAGGGGGCCCCCCACGCACTCGGCAGTGAACCTGGAAGTGGACCAGAAGTACTACCGGTTCACTTCCAGGTCCCCTGCCGAGAGTGCTGGGGGCCTCCCCCCCCACCTTCTGGCTCGGCGATCGGCCGTGGGGGAACCCTGGGTGCCCCCTCAGACCCAGGTGGCACCAGTCACTGGGCCGGGGGAGCATAGGAGGACCCAGAAGTGCTTCTAGTCTACTTCCGGGTCTGCTGCTGAGTGCACTGGGGACCCCCTGCACTCCTGTGGGACGCTCCATCCACCACAGCATCTCAGCATTCATGAGCCTCCTGGTACCTTGAGGTATGTAGAAAAAAATGTTTAAAGCTGTCTCTGTCCAAATCATTGGATCTTTCTGAATCTCTCTGAATCGATTTGGAGGGTTCCAATTTGATTCAGATGGATTAAAGGGTCTCCTGATTCGATTCTGATTCGGAGATCCGGCCACTGAATCAGGCCAAATCTTTGTCAAATCGAATCGGTGACCGAAGCTTTGCACAGCCCTAGTAAGCAGGAACTTGAGATACTGTTTATAGTAGTTTAGAGAGCATTTTCATTGAGTCTTTTTTGGTTTGTGTTTTTTTAGAATACAGAATATTTTCATAAATATTGTTGGAGCCCTTAATATAATCAACACAGCAGGTTCTTAAGGATTCAAATGCAAGGTTTCACTCAGATGATCTTATGCTCTAAAAATAAGTTTGGAGGGCCTCCTAAGCTTACCCTAGAATAATATATTTTAGCTGCAGCTTGATCTTGTTGCATGCCTAGGCCATACTGGAGACATCTAGCATAGTAGAAAGTAGCCATAGCAACACCTTTGGCTATGTATACAGGAAGGCAATCTGTTATCTTTGCTAACAGATCAACGTTATCATTTTCTGCAACCCTGTTATGGAAGTTATAACATAAGATTAAAGGTGGGTATTTCATACATCCATAGAAATCAGCTATATGAACAGTAAAGGATGTGTTGACACAAAGCACATGTATTGATCAACGTCACAGTAGTTGGGGACTCTGTGGACAGTGCTATGGACTTGCAGTATTGTCACAGGAAAGGATGCAAACAAGAATAGGGTGAAATTTACCCACAGACTTCAACATACTGAACAAAGATACTCTATTATGATGGATTTTATTATTATTTAAAAACATGATCAGAATACTTAAATATTGAACAAATATCCAATTACTTTGGTCACTTTCACCATAATTGTGCTAACTGCAAGACAGCATTTTTCCATGCTTATCATACATTTCCATTAAAATGCTGTTAGTTTATTGAAATTCGGATATTTGAATGAACAGCAATGCTTTTCATTTTTGTAAGAGTTCTAAGTCCTTAACAAGTTATTAGTAAACCGCAATTATTTGAAAGTCTAGGGGGACTATCTGAAAATTTAATGTAGAGGACTAGTGGCCATTTGCACTATGGGCTTCTCCAAGGAATACTGGCAGTCTTTACTGAAGTTCAGTTATGCATGGTTTGCTAGTGCATTTTAAAGTGACCATAATAATTTGAACTTTAAAAAAAAATTTTTTTTAAAACCTCAAACTTCTGATACAAGCTTTCTGAATACCATGGCCTGCAATACCTCTACGTATTTAAATCATTTTTTGGTTACTTTACCAAAAAAGGTATTTTTTGGTTTTTTAAAGCTCTGATGCTGATGAAGTTTTTTTTGAATAGTAACACACTGAACACAACTCTTTTCTTCCTTCAGTGTATGCATGTTTGCCTGCTACATCTTCAATTTCAGGATTGCTGTTACTGGTAACATCCCTTCTGAGGGGCCTAGGAAGGAGCATGAACATCATCTTACCCAGTGTTGACAGTGATGTCAAACTGTAAGTCTGGAAGTGCAACTAACATTACCAAGCGTGAACCAGCTATCTGTAATATGCATCAAATGCATGAAGTGAATAGATTGAAATAAGGAGAAAACACAAAACCACTTTTTATCTGCTATTGAGAATTCCATGTTTTTCCTGCACTGAATTAGATATCAATTGTGTCTTTAAACCAGAGAAACTGGTTTCACAATTAAGTGCACATAGCTTAATGCATAGTTGAAGAACCCTTGTTGGTAAATTTGATTGTCTCGAGCATAGCTCTGCATGTTAGTGCTGGCTAACTAAATCACTTACATGTGTCAGTGGTAATGCTTTTCCACCCTAATATCACCACCTTTAGAAAATACCAGTAGCCCAGTCCAAGAAAGTGGTGACTCATTAAAACTAAAACTCAGATGAAGTAACAACAATCTGTTCCATGCCTCTCTATACTTAACATCTGAAAAGAGAAACAAAAGCATATATTTTGCCTTCTTTTTCAAAGCATAATAGGATGTGGATGAAACTAATAAAGAGAGAGATGCTTTAAATCAGCATAAGCAAGTAAAATATTATGTAGGTCATAGAATTATAAAGAAATAGGTCTGGCAGAGACCTCTATAGGCTATTGAGTCCAATTCCCAAGGTCACTAAGAGTATCTTGCTGAAGAAGGTACCATGGTGATAGGGTTAAATTCAGCAAAAAGCAAGACATGATTATTAAAGATGTATTCCATGATACACGGCTACAAAGTATCCAGCTCAGATTTCAAACAGGGCCTAGTTCTGACCATGACTGGGCACGTCACCATGTCATGGCCACAAATATGATTGAAAATACAAGTGTGCTCCTATTTTGGTGACATGCAAGAATGCAAGGAGGTAATTTGCCATATTTCTTAAAAAATGCTCCAGATTTGCAGGCAATTTGTCCGTGCTAGGTTGGGAGCTGAAAAGTAGCAGGTCTTCATGTAAGAAGTGCTGCAAAGTGGCATATAGGCAGGTAGAAAGGCACAGGGATGTGAGCAAAAAGATACCGTTGTTTGATATGACAATTGTTTGAGCTGTGGACAGACTTTAGGCCCAAGGACAACTACAATGTCAATATGATGGGGCTGCTTTAAGCACACTGACAGTACAGTTGACTGTAGAAATTGTCACTTCTAACTATGATAGAGAGTTTTGCTGTTGCTTGGTGCAAATGTGACTACTATTGACAAGGCACACTCTTATTTGTCAGAATAATCTGTCATACCAGAGCGTTTAGAGGACAGTAACCCCACTTGATAAGGCTGGTTGATTCATACTGTGAATGGCTAGTGCTCTATGAGGGGGAAAAAAAACAGAAGTCCAGCCTGAAGCAAGAAGCATTATTTTTAGGTTCAAATAAAAGTGGAAATTTGTCTGACTAAACATCTCAGTTCTGGGACTGTCAGAAATGAATCCGAGCTACAATTTTTTTGATGATCTCTGACTCACTTAGGTAATCATCCTCAGCAGCAGTGTCTCCTTTAAAGTTATATACTGTTAATGGTTCTTTAGACACAGTGCAGAAGAAGCATATTAACACTTGAAGGATGAGGAGCTTTGTGTACAGCTTGTATACAAGGTCATCTTACCTATCTTTTTTTTTCTTTTTTTGTCTTCAGAAACTGAAAGATCTGCCTGATAGGCAGAATCTTGAGTTGGCTTTACCAGCACACACATTTCATGGTTTACACCTGGTTGCCTAGCTTCTGCAGAACTGGGACCAACTTAATTTTCTCCTCTCCAATGTCTCATTCTAGTTTTCACTAACTATGTAAACACAACAGCAGTCAGTCACCTCAGTCCTGGGCTCAGTTAGAAAGCATTACTGATCCTAAGCCATAGTAGCTTGTCAAATGATTTACTTGTATGTTGTCGGGTTTTATAGAGAAACCTAGTTAATTCTCTTGAATGGAGAGAACTGGAATTTACTTCAACACAATGGTGTACTATCACATAACATCATTTAGTCTTACAAGTGCCAGGTTGTAAAGTGCTGGGCTCCATGCAAACTCTACAACTGCCTATTCTTGGGGAAAGTGGAAGGGATAGATAGCATTGATGCTGCTTACAAAAAAGATGCAAGTAAAGAGAGTGAGAAGGTGTAACAGATCTGTAGACAAGAAAGGATCAGAAAGCTGCCCCTAAAGGAACCTTCCAGAGGAAGAATAAAAAGCCAGTGGTGGTTCTTTCTATTTTCTCAGAAAAAAATAACCCTAATGTGGAAGTGGTGGTCATACTTTGTTGATGGTTAAACAGATGGCTGCCTGGTGTATCTGATAGATCTGACAGAATGGGGCCACTTGAAAATGGCTGATTGGAAATTGAAAGTGGAAAGTTGTTCGTCTCTTCTGAATAGAAACCAGAATAATACGATCCTTCAAATGCTTCAACCCAAAAGAAAGTTCCGTATGAAGCTGAAATTGGGAGAAAAGAGAGGTGGTTGTTTTATTTGTCATCTATTTAGCATATTTTTGTTCAAAATCTTCATTAATGATTTGGATGGTGGAACCTGAGTGCAGGCTTAGCAAATCTGCAGATGACATCAAGTTGGGTAGAGCTGCAAACACTCTGGAGCACAGGGTTAGGATCTGGAATGACCTGGATAGGCTGCAAAAATGGTCTGCAACTGATCATATGAAATTCAATAAGGATAAATGCAATAAGGATAAAGTCCTCCATTTGGGAAGGAATAATTGTATGCACAAATACAAACTAGGGAGTGACTTGCTAGGTTACACTACTACAGAGTACTGGAGGTTACAGTAGAGTATAAGCTGAACATGAGCAAACAGTGAGCCTGTGTTGCAGAAAAAGGCCAAGAACACACTGGACTGTACTAAGACGAGTGTCACGTGCAAATCAAGGGAAGTGACTCTTCTGCCCTATTTAGCACTGGCGAGACCTCACCTGGAATACTGTGTCCAGTTTTGGGCCCCGCACTTTAACAAGGATGCGGACAGCTCAGAAAGTCCAGTGGAGAGCAACAAAAATGAGTAGAGGCCTGGGAAACAAACCTTATAAGCAAAGGCTTAAAGAACTATGGTTATTTATTTGAGAAGAGAAGACTACGAGGGGATTTGATAACAGTCTTTAAATACCTAAAGGGTGATTATAGAGAGCATGGAGATGAGCTTTTCACTGTGGCCCTAGAGAACAGGCCAAGGAGCAAAGGCCCCTAACTGCATAAGGGAAAATTTAGTAGGAAGAACTTTCAGACTATGAAGGTGAAACAGGCTACAGAGAGAAGCTATGGACTCTCCATCCATGGAAATTTTCTAAAGCAGGGATACAGGCACTTGGCTGAGATGGTTTAGTCAGGGATAATAAGCCTTCCAAGAACAGGAGGCTGGACTAGATGACCTCATGAAGTCCCTCCCAGTCCTGCTTTCCTATGATCCCTTTTTGTATATGGAGTTATTTCCAGGAATATATTTATGTGTGAGTTGCATAAACCTGAATGATATTTACAGATGATTTAGAGCTGTTTTTTAATTTAGTCAGTTCTCTTTCTCTCCTCTCTCCTTCATTGTTCTGCTCACCTACCATATGGAGTTCTGCAAGCAAACAGGCAAGACATGCAAAATGGAGATGATACAGACTGGATATTTTTAACACTGCAGCCTGCAACACTAACAACATACCCTGTGTCAGACGTGCCATAGAGTTTGGCTTCCCTCCCAACCACAATGTAGTTAACTTGGTGACACGGAAGATGCTTATTAACATCCAAAATTACTTTTGATATTCCATCCTTCATTTTTCCCCCCTGTGATTATTTTTGCTTCATGTGGTCAGAAAGAACAGAACAGAGTTAAATGACTGAAGTCTTCATAATAATTGGCTCTTAATTTTGTTTCAGCTTTGTTGTTTACTTTCTATAGATCAAGTCTGGCAGTTATCAATTAATATCTTATATGTCTCTAGTAGGCAAGACTGACAAAAGTATTAAAAATTATTAACTGAAATTAAGTTCACCTTTTGGCTGATGTGGCAGCTGTAGCATACATTTTTCTTTTGTAGTAATACTCAACAAGATGGCCTTGAGCATAGACATTGCCACGTTCTGCTGCTTCCTTCAGGCACTCCAAAGCAGCTTTTGTATTTTGATGTATACCTTGTCCATGAAGATACATAACACCAAGTACACCCTGTGACTCCAGACTTCCATTGCCACAAGCTTCTGAATGCCAGAAAAATGCCTGCAAGAAGTGCCACAAAGTTTTTTTTTTTTTTAAATGTAGCTGAATGAATATTTTGCACAACTGCAGTAATTTTGGGGGATAACTATGTATTCACCAGCTGTACTTTGCACATGAGTGTCAAACAGGCCAGAGTGGACTTGTACACATCACATGATGCATAGTGCACCAGCCCCACATGCAGGGCCCAGGACAGGGGTGGGCAAAATATGACCTGTGGGCTGGATGCGGCCTGTGTGACCATTCTATCTGGCCCGCAGGGCCCCTAAAAAAATTTCGAAAATTAAAATTTCTGTCCTTGGTTCCTGTCTGGAACCACATGGCTGCCCCGGCATGGGAAGCTTGGGTAAGGTGCGGGGGGGCCAGGGAATGAGCTGGTGCAGAGCACAGGGAAAAGCGGCTCCTCGCCTGCCTTGTGGCCAGTGCTCCTTGCTGCAGCCGCTCGCAGCCCATGTAGGGCTGTCCTGAGCAGGCACAGGCAGCCCCACACGGGCTGTGAGGGGCTGTAGCGTGGGGCGCTGGCCACGGGGTGGGGTTGGGGCCGCTTTTCCTGCACTCCGCACCAGCTTGTAACCTGCTTCCGCAGCCAGCCTGGGCCCCGCGTCAGCTCCGGGCGCGCCCATTGGGACTGCACAGCAGCAGCAGCTGCGGCTCCCCTGCTTGCTGTGCTGGGCAGTGTTTGCTGCTGCGCTTGGCAGCCCAGAGGCGGCAGTGGCAGCCTCGCTGCAGCCTACTGCTGCATGAGCTCT